CCCCACAACTTGTATGAAAAAACCAAAGAATCTCTGAATTTTTTTCCCCAAAATTCCAAATTTGCGGTTCAAAAGTAGATTCTTCAAATTTCAGGGGCGATACCGAAAATTTCAATAAAAAGTAAGTTTTTACCAGAAATTCCATTATTTACAATATTTTGTATCGAAAATTTTAAAATTTCCGGTACACACCACAATATTTTTACCAGAAATTTCAAACTTTCCAGTTCAAAAAACCTAGTTTTGTACCAAAAATTTTGAAATTTTCAGTATTTTTAAAAATCTTGTTTTGTACCAGAAATTTTAAAATTTTCGGTAGTTATAAAAATTTTCTTTCACTCCGGAAATTTCAAAATTTTTGGTAGTTGTTATCATTGTTATTTTTCTTCTAATATTTTTTTCTTCTTTTGTAGTGAAATCTAGAGGCATAAACGGTACTATCACATGGGAGAGCTGCGGATCGAGCATCAGACCAGGGTAGGGCTACCAGGGGTGCTGATGCTGAGTCTTCTCAACTACGAGCAAGATGAGTGGTCTCCACCAGTTCATATCGGGACCAGGTGGCGGAGCGGGGTTAGTTTCAGGCACCTCATGCCACTCGATGAGGAGCTGGCAGACGTTCCTGTAGTTGATCCCATTGGTGAGCCGGTAGTTGAGCCGATGGTTGCTCAAGTAGTTGATCTGGTGGTTGATCAGGAGGTTGTCGAAGAGGTTGCTCAGGAGGTTGTTGAGGAGGTACAACTAGATGCTGTTGTTGGTGAGTCGGGCTCGTCGATCACAGTTGATACAGAGGTTACAACTCCTTCAACTGAACCGTCTATGCACGGATGGAGGATTCCCAAGAGGACCTATCGACCGGTCTGTGCTTACAGAGTATGGTGAGCATGTGGCCTTACGATTATGGCAGGGCGAGGTATATGTCTTTTACTTTTAAATTTATTTTTTGTTTATGTTTAATTAAGTATCAACTAATTTGTTTATATTTTGTTGTCACAGGAGCGACCCACACTGAAGGTCATATCTCAGGGTTGAAGATGAAGGACTTCCCAAAGATTTTGATGCCTGAGCAGGTCAGTCAAATTACTCAGGACTTCTAGCTACTTGATTTTGCCCACTATTCACCTGTCATGTTGGATGCTCCATTGCCTAGTGCTTTATTGAGAGATGGCACAAGGAGACATCATCATTTCATCTTCTGTTTTGGGAGATGACTGTCACTTTGGATGATGTCTCTATATTGTTCCATCTCTCTATCGGTGGAAGATTCTGGATGGCTTTGATTCTTAGCATGACCACCGATTATCAGGTTGTGTCACATGATTTGAGTTTGTCTGAGGCGGAGGTGCTGGAGGAGTTTGGTGAGACCAGAGGTGCGCACCTTCGCATGCATTGGCTTTGTAAGAAGTATGATCAACTTGTAGTTGTAGGGAGGTATGAGGCTTCCGCTAGGGTGTACGTGCTACATATAGTAGCATGTAGTATCTTTGCATACAAGTCTGGTGTTTATGTTTATGCTCAATACTTGTTCCTTTTTAATAGCCTTGAGGTTACCAGTTGGGCTTGGGGTTGTGTTGCGCTAACCTAATTGTATATAATCTTTGGAGTGGTGACAGCCTTTAAGACCAGACAACTTATTGGGTATTTGAGTCTGTTCCAAGTATATTTGACAATGGTTTTATATGTTATTGATTTCGTATTTATTTTTTACGAATATCGTTTCTAAAGTATTATTTGTTATGTCTGTTTTATGATTTCAGTGCTGGATCTACAAGGATTTCCCTACCATCTGTGACAGGAGGGTGTAGCACTGCGAGATGGGGGCCCTACAGGCGAAGAAGTGGAAGACGAGGCAGGCACATCCTGATGGTGTAGCGAGTATAGAAGGAAGCTCGATGCGCTGATTATAGATGACGTCATATGGACACCATACGATGTTCATAGAGTCCACCGTGTGTTCGAGAAGTCCTCATTATATTCAGGTTATATGCGGTGGGAGGCCTTGGTTGCTAGACGTTTGGCTGAGAGGTGTTTGCGACAATATGCTATGTTCAAAGTATCCCACGACCAGTTCCCGATATTCCAACTTCAGGGATTGATTGGTGATTTCAGAATAACTTCATCAGCTCTGGTCGTGCCATCAGAGATCGAATGGTCACTACTCAGCACCCCTCACAGTATGAGGATGGTTACTTAGAGTGGTACCTCACTATATCACATCCTCGCATCACCCTACCCCTAGTTGATGATGGGCCTTCTGATGACCAAGTACCTGTTGATGACGCGCCGCATCCGCCTCCTATAGTAGATCACATCGATGACTAACAGCTCCAGATGATTGCAGTGATTATGGATAACCTCATGGGTTTGGTAAACCCAGATGGTGAGGTATATACTGGATTAGCTCGGGCCGCACACATAGCCCGTGGGGGCTTATTTAGATAAATTTTGTATTATTTGTATATTATTCAGACATCTTTATCATAATACTTTATTAGGTAATATTAGTGATCTTCCTTAAATTGCATTGTGAACGTTAACTAACAACTGACAATGGTTTTCATAACTTCAACAAAAAACACTTAATATTACAATATGATTAATAAATAAGAAAGATCTAAACACTACCAGACGCTTTAGGACGTTTTAGCATCTCCATTATGTCGTCAACGGATCTTGACAACTTCACATCTAACTCTATTAAACCTTTTGTTATCCTACGACGAAATGATCTCCACATTTCCTTCACGTCTTCGTTGGTCTTCAACTCAATAAGGTTGTATTTCACCCTCCCGTTTGTATCGATTCAATCTTCATGAAACTCAATCTTTCTCACCTTTTTATTGTCACCATCAGACAATAATTCATTCAACTTTGACGTCAGACCGACAAAAGAGGTGGTGCCATCAGGAAGCGTGAACTTTACATGAGGAGAAGCTTCGTTGAAGTGAACTTCTCTGCCTTAATAAAAAATTAAGGAAGATGCATTTTTTGAGATGTATTTATCAACAAAAGGTGACCCCTATTTATACAACTTCAGGTCTATTCTGGACCATACAAACTTTCGCTGCAATCACAACCGCATAATATTGTCGATAAAATTCTGATCATTCAAAAAAACTGTAAAAATGAAAATACCGAAAATTTCACTTAGAGTGAAATTTCTGATATCAACACAGAAATTTCATATTTTCGAAACATTTTGCATTTTACCGAAAATTTAACTACCAAAAATTTTATACTGCCAAAAGTTTTGGGAAATTTTACCCCATACCCCTACAATTATACTCATACCCCTACATTAAATTTTTTTGGACCAAAATACCCTCGTATAAAAAGTTATAATTTTTTTTTATCGGAAGACTTTTGGTTCACATTTTTTTTCGTTTGTTTACCGGAAGACTTTTTGGAAGTCTTCCGGTTCATGTTTTTTTCGTTTTCCGGTTCATATTTTTTTTGGACTTTTTGAAAGTCTTCCGGTTCATGTTTTTTTTTTATCATTAAAAAAATATTTTTTAATAAATATATCACATGATTTTGTCCTTTTAATAACATTTTTTTATCATTGAAGTAACACATTTTTTCTTCAGACATATCACATGATTTTGTCCTTTTAATAAATAAAATATATTGAGTATTTCTATGACAAGGTAAAATAAAGAAATATTTCTTTTGAAAAACTTATAACAACAAAAATATAAGAAGTAATATTTAATAACTTAAATTTTAAAAATATTAGAAGAATATATATATATATATATATATATATATATATATATATATATATATATATATATATATATATATATATATATATATATATATATATATATATATATATATATATATATATATATATATATATATATATATATATATATATATATATATATATATATATATATATATATATAATTAAATAAATAAAATAAATGGGTCTTCTAATTAAATTTATAAATACAATACAGAAATATTTTTTCCTAACTTATATTCATAACTTTGAAATTCCCATCATCCTTCATTTATCTTATATCAAGTTATGCCTTTTCTTTTTAGTTTTTAATTTTCAATCTCTTTATTGACACCTACATTAAAAAAATCATTCAAATAAGTGAAAATATAGATATGACTTACAAAATTATTTAATAAAAGTTGTTAACTAATTTATATATTGATGAGAGAAAATAATTTAGTTAATAAAATTAGTATTGTTATCAACTTAGTTGAGAAAATTAGTATTGTTTTATTTTTCTTTCTTTTAAAAGTTAATTTTTTTTCTTTAAAAAATATAATCAATATATAAATTAGTTAACAATTTTTATTTTTATTGATTAAAAAAAACAATCCTAAATTAATGGAGTAATTATTATTAAGTAAATAAATATAGTAAATTAATAAAAAATCAAATTAATAAAATAATTATTATTAAATAAATAAATAGAATAAATATAACAAATTCATAATAAATAGAGTAAATAGAATAAATATATTAATTAACTAAAATAAAGTAAATAAAATAAATATATTTGTAATTTAAATATTAAAAAAATAAAAAATTAAAAAAAAAATGAACCGGAAGACTTTCAAAAAGTCTTTCGGTAAACAAACCAAAAAAAATATGAAATGAACCGGAAGACTTCCAAAAAGTCTTCCGATATAATTTTTTATACGAGGGTATTTTGGTCAAAAAAATTTTAGGATAGGGGTATGAGTATAATTGTACGCGTATGAGATAAAATTTCCAAAGTTTTACTATAACTATCAAAAATTTCAAACTAAAATTTGAGATGTATTTCATCCAAAAACAGTTTTGATATTATGAAACATTGGGGTTGTCAGGTAGAATTCTCATAAATTTCGTATTGATTTTGTATCAGCCCAATAATACAATCGAAGCCCATAACCCATTGCCCAAACCCTAGGATTCAAAAAAAATTGGAAATGAAGAAATAGAAAAAACCCACCCAGCAAAACCCCGGCGCTCGTTCCTCCGCCACACTACCATGTCCGCCGCAAGATGTTTCCTTCGCTCCGCCGCTTCTCGCGTAGGAAGTAAGGCGAATCTAGCCACCGGAGCTAAAACTAGAACTTCACAATCAACGTTTCGGATCCCAAAGCAAAATTCAACTCCTAATCGCATTTCCAGGTAACAACGTTCAATTTCAACTATGCTCTATGTTCTGTGTGTTGTTATGAATAAACATTAAAACCTAATGAAATCTACTCGAATTCGATTGAAATCGTTGACAGATTGCCGGTGGAGATGAGTTGCGGTGTGCAATCGTTGCTTCCTTATCACACTGCAACAGCTTCCGCGTTGCTCACTTCAATGCTTTCAGTTTCTCGTCACTCCTACGGTTGGACTCCTGAAGGTATTAATCTCTCTTTTACCCAATTACGATTTATCTATCATCGCTATTTCGTGCTTGTTTGATTGCTTACCATTCAAATGAAACAACTTGTTCTTCCCATGCTAAATTTTTTCATATGCTGTGCTTTGGATTGTGAAATTAAATAATAGTACTACATAATTGTGACTCTTCAATTGGGTTTGAATGGATTTTGTGTAATCTTATTGGACACCAGAAACACTGACAATAGTAATAATTTGAAAAATGAATAAATTAAATGTAAACAATAGTAATAATTTGAAAAATGAATAAATTAAATGTAAACACAAGTGTTGGTGTCAATTTCAAACACAGACATACCTTTTTTCTAAGGTGTCGGTGCTACAGAGGTTTGTACCCTTCATTTGATGGAAGAATCTAATTGTCATCTTGATTACTCAATAATGAAATTAATCAGACCTGTAGCCAAATACAATGGATTATACGTTACGTGAAGTTAAGTGCCCTACAAGTTGAATCCGTAATTTGTAGAATTCCATAAAAGTTGATTTTTGATCCACTATGGAAGCCAAAACCTTACAAGTTAATCCATGATTTGTAGATTTCCTGAAAAATTGAATTTTGATACACTCTAAAAGCTAGTTCAGTGCATTCATAATGATACAATGCAATATTGCTATAATGGCTTATCTTTATTTTTTCTTATTTACTTTTTTTCATTGAAATAGGATGTAGGCCTTTTTTTTCTTAACGATTTAAACGATAAAACTTGTTGGTTCGATCTTTTTCTTTTTTACCTTTTCTGGATGGCGTAGGGAAGGTTGTGCTATTGATGAAAATATTTACTGTTCAAACATTTTCAATTTTTTTTTTCTTTTTTTTACAATTAGGCTCTCTCTCTTGCTCTCACAATGAAAGGATGTTATTTTTTCCCCTTTGTAGGGCAAGAGAAGACTAGATGAGGATCAAGCATCAAAGATGGTGTGACATGGATTTAGTTCAATTTTTTGGTTTTGGAGCATTGAGAGTTTGTCTTCTGTAGATTAGTTAGAGGATAGATCTCTAAATTGAATGTAAAATTTAATATTGAACACCATATCTTGTCAAAAACTATTGTGAAGCTATGGTGCACTTCAATGTTATTTCTTATTAACTTCCCAATCACATTAATTTGTCAGCCACATCTTTTAACAAAGTGCTGTGATTTTGAGCTATGGAGCAATTCACCTCTCCCTTTCTCTAAAAAGATCTATTATGGATTGTATTTTTTAGTGCATTGCCAATTTCAAAAGTCTAGACCTTTTATATAAATGAACATTCACTTAGAGATAATCATCTGAAGACCATACTGATTGATTGTATTCACTCAGATTGCAATGATGATGTATGATGAATGACAGACGGTTCGTGCAAAGTTTTATATAGGTGCGCTCTGAATAAGTTCGAGTATTTTCTCCTTTTGGGATTTGGAATTGTTCATATACACTTTGATGTCAATGAGAATTTGCTGAAAATATACAAGAGACCATAAATTAGCAAAAATCAGTTTCTACCTTATTATTCTGGAGACTAATTTCTAGATACTGTTTGTATGATCACTGCATTTTGGTTCTGTTCAAGGTTTAACGAATTTACTTTATGTTGTGTATTGCAATGGAAGTGCATATGATGCAGTGAAAGAACATTAGTATGATGTTGCTTTGTTAAACTTAAGATTTTATTTGTCTGCTTAATGTTCATCTCAGAATGTTATTTCTTGTTGACGAGATACTCATAGTAAAATCTTGAGAAAAATACCTGATGTTATATTTGCTGACCTTATTTTGGAATTTTTAGAATTGAACATATATCTCTTAAAGGAACATGTTAAAATTGAATACTTCTATTTTTCTGCTGCCACACCAAAGTATTTATACATTTCTACATTCTTTGTGCAACACCCTATTTTGACATTGCTGTTTTCTTGTTTAGGCTCGTGAACATTTGCACTTTGGCTTTAGGCTTGGGGACTACCCATGTAATGTTTCTGTCATTTCGACGTGCTTTGCATCGATAGATATTGTTTTGTATCTAAACGATTTGCAAATTATTAACTACAATTGTACATTACTATGATTTAGAAATTATGTTAGCCATTTGATTCTGATCAAGTATGGTATAGTGTATGGTTTATGTTTCTTAAATTGTTTTCTTTTTGAATTCTAGATGGATGATTGCTGTTATTGGATGCTGTTCATTGCTCGTACTTTCCATGGATTTCAGTTTACTTTGTTAGGCCTTAGAGGATTTTCTCCTAGATAGAATGTGAAAACTTCCAAGAATTAAATTGTACAAGCATCCAGAGCTGTACCATGCTTAGGTATGATTGTTATTCTATTCAATCAGCATTGCAACATTTCTTTGCCGTCAAAGTAGATCGATTCATTTGACTCTGATATTGGAAAAAGGTTAACTGTCTGGGTTTTGGCAATGATACGCAGGTTTTCATGCTGTTGTCGATCACTAATTTAATATACTATCAAACAAGTGTTCTTTAACTCTTCTTGGTGTCTTTTTACAACTTTATACGAGCATTCCATGCATCAAATGCATGACCGATATGATAAAAAATTATGCAATTCCAATGAAACTAATTCCTTACCAAGCACATTTATAAAACCTTTGTGATCAAAATTCTTACATTTGCAAAAATTTGCTACTTTCAACTGTCTTTCCTCAAATCATTTTCAGATACCAGTCAATTTTAAAAAGAGTGCTTTTGGTTTGAACATAGCAAGAATCGGAAAGAATACAGTCATTATTAAGAAATAATAAGCACGCATAAAAGTGAAACATAATAACAATACAAGAAACTAATGGGGATATTTTAGAAGTGGAAAAAAAAAACCATCTCGTCAATTTGAAAATAACGTTATGTTATAATTGTTACAACACATAGATTAACTTCAACTAGTTCAAAGCTCCATTACATTTTCACACCAAATCTACACTAACTTAAATTTATTATATAGATTTGGACTCTCTTCCTCTACAAAATGAATTGATGTTTAACTCATTCAACATATATATTTTTAACTAAAACCAACATCTTCACTTTGATTGAAAATGATACGCCAATTTTAATTGTTTATATTGACAATCATAGATCAAAAAAACTATCATATTCTACCATAAAGAGTATAGTTACTTGAAACTATATCATTTTAAGAATTTTCACATTATCTACATAGACAATAGTAGTTGAAAGACTACCATACTCCATCAGAAGACGATTATACTTTATTTAAAGTTAAATCACTTCAAGAATTTCTACATGTTAAAAATCAGACTGAAAATTTGTGGTGCAAGTTCCATGTTGACATGAAGCTCTTCAACCATCCACATTATTTCGTGTCGGTCAAAGGCCCAATAGGACAATGCTCATTTGTTATACTTGTTATAATACCTTCATAAAGGGTTTTTAGGCACGCAATCTCTAATCTCCACTTTCACTCAGTTATCTTGAACTTTAACTGACTTAAGCATTGGAGTGTTAACCATGTAGGCGCCCTCCTTTGATCCGTCGCATTGGAGATTAACAACGTCGATTTAAGATCGACACTGTTTGTCAACATTAGTGCAAAATCAATGTATGTGATTCAAGAGGTACCACGATCGCAACCTCCGATCCATGGTGTTGCATCACTAAATCACTTAGGAAGATTTGTTTTGTCGTAGTATTCACAATCCTCTCTATTTCTGGTTCCAAAACAGAACAGTGGCGCCGTTTATGGGAATCGATTTCCAATTCATGTCATTTCCACGATGTCAAGTCCAATTCTCAAATCCAAAATCCAAAAGAATCTATGGTGAAAGAATTAAGGTTCATCGAAATCGAGGTATCATATCCGCGACATTTGGATCCATTGAATTACGATCTAACTCCGATTGATCGTTTGTCTCAATCTCGCGCCATTATGAGATGTCACCAACAAACATCCTTAGATCGAAACTCAGTTTAACGGTGTTCCGATCGACCAAAACTCTCAATCTCAAACCCCTTCCAAGGTTGGTCAATATATCCCCTTGAATCCTGATTCAGATTCACAGAGATAAAATCAGTCAAGTCTCGTGCCAGATGTCTCATCATCATAAAATCCCATGTCAGATGTCTCACCATCGTAACAACCAGAACTCTGTTCGAACAATCACCAGATGTCCGAGACTACGGAATGATAAAGGAGTTGTGAGGTGATTGGCATTTTTGGGTATGAGGTAACTCAAGAGATCAGATGGGTAATCAAGTATCAAACCAATGGATCAAATAAAAGCCACATGACTCTCAATCGACGAGAGAAGTCCCCGACCCTGTTCCAAATTATACGAAGTCAGTATGGGTGTAAATCAAAAGGAAAGATAGTCTGTGTAAAATGGGCGTCCTAAGTATAACTACTAGGGATATTCTATAGGCTACGAAGCTAGGAGAACAACGAAGGTTCGTCGGTCGGCTCGAATCCTAAACCTGGATTTCGTGGTTTCCTGGTGTTGCACCCTAAAATTTGCCTAACCTTTTCTTACTTGGTTTATGTTTCATTGGCATTGCATTGATCTAACATTTGTATAGCATAGCATTGTTCATTTAACAGGGGATCAAGTGTGGAGCCTATCTAGAGGTCTTATGCAAGTTTGAGAAGTCATCATAATCATCAGGAAAAGGGTTGGTGATTCATTGGTGCTGAATTCAGAGATTGCAACTCAAATTCTCAAGCTTCAACTCAAATTCGAGTTCTCATTTCAAGCCAGTTTCAGATCAAATTGAAGATTGGATCCTCTTTCTTGCACTTCATTGAAGGAATCTGGAGGTTTTGGAAGCTTGAAACGTGTTCTAACTACCTCTGTTTGAAGCTACATTCAAGGTATGTAAATTTCATAATTCCATGGGTTCTATCATGTTTTAGTTAGAAACAAGCATGTGGTTAGGATCTGGCTGAAACATAGGTTGTTTTAGGTTTAAATTGGTAGCAATTTGTGATGATCGATCATGTGGTGCAATTTCTGTTTTGATTCGAAACACTTTGATATGGATGAATTAATACAAGTGAGATAGCTTAGGTTAATCAGTGTTAGATGAGGATCATTTCTATACCATTAATTGGACATTTGGTGATGATGAACGACATGACATAATTTGGATCTTGATTCGGTTTGTACGACCTAGGAGTATTCAATTAATTTGGATAGGTTATTCGTGATCAGCATGATATTCTGAGCAAGATTGATATAAGGTTTGGGATTTTCGGTTGCCTGCAAGTTGATCTTCATCGGAGAAGACGGTGGCGCCACCGTCTGGGCCACCGTCTGCATTTTGTGTCTCACCTGAGCTAGAGGAAGAAGAAGGTCTCGTGGCCCTTGGATCTCCCAGGAACCTTGACTCGTTATGACCATCGTGTGGATGAGATTGAATCTGAAGATTTGCCTCCAAGATGAAACACTGCGTTTCATTAATGTGACTCAGCGCCCAGTCATCAGCCAACTCGGATCCTCATGTGGACGCGCTCATTACCTTTAGATTAGATTACTTGGTCTTCTCATCCAACGCGCATGATAATTCCCTGAACTTTAATTAGTTTAATTCTTTTTTTTTCTATTTTCTTTATTACATTTCCATTCTAAAATCATTTTAAAATTCAATAATTGTCAGAAAAATAAAAAGAAAATATCCCCATGATCCTTGTTTTATTCTTGATTTTTCTGTACCATTAGATTTAATTTTTGATGTATTTTCAATTTAATTCATATTTTTCTTATTTTGGATATTTCATTAATTTTGCATAATTGAGCTGTTTGTTTGTTGATTTTTGTTCTTGCAATTGGTTTGGAATTTTGTGGTGAACTTTTGATAGATGCTAGGTTAGAGATGTATGCTCCCTCAGGATTTTTCTCACATTTATTTAGAAAATCATAGCTTCTGATTTAGAGGTAGGTTTAGAGCCTTTCCCCATTAATGGTTTCCCTTGATACCTTTCAACTTAGGATTTTATTAGAGGACTTAGAAATTGAATTAGGCTCTGATATTTGAGCTATAGATCATTAACAAATGCATGTTACCATAGAAAAATAATTAGATTATTAGGATGTGTTTTGCTATTTTAGATAGAATATTCAAGTTGTTTGTTCATTTGTTGCTTCAACCTTGGTGTTTGTTTTGGAATAGACTCAAAGTGGGCTTTTCTTGCATGTTGGGCTTCTGGTTCCTCTTGGATGATGTCATGGGCATGAAGAAGCTTTTGTGGAGTGGCTGGTGGAGCTTGGCTTGGAGCTTTTCTTTTCTTTTTGTTAGCTTTTTGTAGCTTATAAGATTAGGGTTTTTAGGAGAGAGCTATAGAAGTAGTTTTTTCCTTCAAATAAGCA